ATTGAAAAATATAAACAGGTTATAACTAAAGAAACTGTGATTGGAATCAGGTCTAATAGCATCAAAATTTGTAATAAAAAATTTGTAGTCATTCTTTTAGGTGAAAGACAATGACATTTTGATTGCCCATGATCTAAAGGTCACAATTTGAGATTCATGCACTTGCTCTAAAATTATTTACAATATACATTACATGTGACATGAATTTGATCATAAACATTATTCAGGAGGCATGTGACGTACATGTACATGTATGAATGGCATATGACAATTAAACTGTATTATGCAATATTATTCACTTACATGGTGGCTCAGTAGGAGGTGCAATAGTTACTGCATGAGGGGGAGAAAGAGGAGGAGAGAGAGAGAGGGAGGGAGGGAGTTGTGAGCAGAAACCAAAACATATGTTCTTACCATTAGAGTTTGAGTAGCAACCAGTAGCATTGACATCAGTACAGCAATCACCAAAAATATAGCAATAAGCATCACAGTAACATGTTGCAAGATTCCCTGAGGGTGTGTGACCACGACATGATGTGTTATTAGCATAACTACAGCACCCACTGAAACCAGCACTAACACAAGAACCTACAAAGAATTAAGAAAGGACACATGTATACATGTACAAGAACAATTTATAAATGAACTACAGCTGTTGAGGGTCACTGGACATACATGTACACATATACAGTATAACCTCGATTATCCGGACCTCGATTATTATTATTAGTAGCTTGTTTAGCACTGGAATGCTTCTGATTAATGGCTTTCTACTAGTAACAAGGCTTGGATATAGCCTCCTTATGGCTGATTAAGGCTCTAGCTTTTCTTTGGAGTAAGTATACAAAGGTTTTAAAGGTCATTTCAATTATCTGGACTTTTCACTTATCCGGACCCATCCGGACCACCTGATGGACAAAGGGGTCCAGATATTTACCATACCAGGATGTTAGTTCATTAGGAGCCAAGACTTCTGTACTTATAATGTACTAAATGAACTTATACACTTATATGACTGCCCATTTAACAATTAAGATAGAGTACCTCAAACCACCCATCCATATGTGTACAATCTACAATGCATTTACATCTACATGTATATAATTGCATTAATATTGCTACTACTCAATATTATTATTATTATTATTACTGCTACCATTAGTACTATAGCAATAGCATGAGAACAATCTAAGCCTTTAGCTTTAATTATGTATAATGTGTACATACACCCATACATATTGCAGTGCTGTATACAATTGAATTACATTGGAGATATTCATTGTCAATACGTATAGGACAAACAGGATGAGTAGGATAAGAGTACATATCATTCATTACTCCTAAATTACATCATGTGATGTCTTACCCACACATACATAATTGAGATAGGAACAAACAGAATTATACAATATTTGGCAAGCGGGTATAACCTATACTATTTACTGACAGCTGCTACCTATTACTATGACATACACATACTGGTACATGTACTTGTTGATGTTCATGACGGGTATAATACTGAGAATAGTCAATAGCTACCACTTGAAAATAGAACTGTATGTACATGTATACATATACACAAATATAAATGAACTCATTGTTGATCTTGCAGTGTGCTAACTCATAATAATATACAAAGTGAATAGTTTCAAGGCAATATTATATAAACATACGTATGGCATACATTCATGCTTGAATGCACATACATGTACTTATATATGCACACGTATACATGTGTATCCTCCTGTATTGCATACACATAAAACATGACTAAACGTACATGTACACGCATTTATGTGCATTTTCAAGGAAGTCAGCCATCCTTAAAAATAACGTGACTTGAACAAACTGAAATACTACATTATAGATAAAATGAAATATCAACATTATACAAACTTAGTGTACTACACAACGGACCACATAATTTCCCTACAAAATGGAATAAAACCACAATGACATGACTACAACCCTTATAAGCTTCTGATTGCACATACTGGGACGCTTGTAACAAGTACAATACACCGCATGCATCTCCTTTGTATATTCATGTGAACAAAAATCATATGTGACAGTAGAAGCTCAGACAGTACAAGCTCAAACACGCCATTACCAACACCACTAACAAGGTGCTGGTATAATGAGAGTCTACAGTATCGATTAAATAGCTCTTAAAGTATTCAAATCACACACATGTACATGTACATGTACATGTACAAAAACTAATAAAGCATTCATAATGTAGACATAGCTCAAGTGCTCTAGTCAGAAATGACATTTTGTTATTATAATAAAATTATACGCATGCACTGGATGAATGAACATTATTTTTTGTTATTAAAATTTCATTTGTAGCATTAAAAATTTTACCACTTATTATTACCAAAGGATTAATGGATGTATGCCACAAGACTATAGTTGCTTATTAATAAATGGAATAAATAAAAATAAACAATTTGTCATGCAAGGAAATGAATGTGACAGACATCCTTTAGTAAGCATGTATATACTACAAAATGTTTGAGTAATGGTCACATGTTTCTCACGCTAACAAGTAACCTCACCTGTTTCAGTAATGTTGCTTTGTACACAGCTAGTTTGATTAATATCAGGGCAGCAATCGTTATTAATATAGCAAGACTGATCGCAGTAACAGGTTGAATTACCACCAGTCCCACGACATGAAGAACTAGTAGAAGTATTACAGCAAGAAGTGAAGCCAGCAGATACACAAGAACTCTCCAAGTATACACAACCAATGCTGGCTACATCTGGACAGCAATCACCGTATATGTAACAACTGGCGTCACAATAGCATAAACTGGATCCAGCTCCCTACATAAAGAGAGACAGTAACGTTTATAAAGAGCTTCCCCGTACTTACATGGCACGGGTAAGCGGTACAGCAGCCCGTGTAATTTGCCGCTACACACTGAGCTGAGGGAAAGAAAGAGCACATAGATTACAATGTTAACTGCTTATTTACCATGCGTTTCCTCCGGTAAACTACAGAGCAAGAAGAGAGCTGCAAATAAAAAGGAGCAGCCAGGCACCATTTCCAACCCTCTTTGTCTCTAATTACAAGTAAGTGCATGTAATATTGAAACAAAAATATATACGGTATAAAGTAACCTAGACAGCCACGTGGTTTCCGTATACTTCCGATCATGATATCCGTATACTGGGCTTTTTATCGGAGTCTCTCAATTGCACCAAGGCAACCTAGTAAAATTTACCTGTCATTGCACAAAACTAAAAAAGGTGCTTGTGGTTCATTGGTTGTTTGTGTGAGCACCCAGAGCACCTCCCTTTGGTCTCCAGCCGCTGCAATTAATATTATAAGCCAATCTAATGACCCCACGTGTCATGATTTTCATGTGACACGTAAGCTCAAGAAATATCTAGTCTATTGCTTCTTTTCCCAGTCGGTGAACTATTCTTCTCTCGGAGCCTAAATTAGATCCATCTAATTAATCCGAGAGGTCTTAACTGGCTGTAGAGTCGGAAAATTGCAGCTAAAATCTACCGACGAGAGCGACTGTCATTCTAGGCGAGCCTGTGAACCTGCGTATTTTCTGAAGATCGCCCAACTACAGAAGTATGGACCAGCCTCACTCCCTGAGAGGACTCATAGCTCCTAGTGTTCAAACTGCATACATCCCTGATCAATACCTGGTGGGTAATTCACGTTTTGTGAATAATACATTCATTGCGCAGCCACCGCCTCGGCCTCAGCTAATTGTGCAGCCACCTAGTTTTGTGAGACCTCTAAGACCTCAACAAATATTCTACCAAACAAATGCTGCCTCTCATCAATACCACAGGCCTGGACCTCCTCCTCTTATTTTTCATCCTCGTCACTCAAGACTTGTTCAAAGACCGCCTGTTACTCCAGTGCAACCAACACCAGCTGTAATGCCTTCAGCATTTAAGAGGAGACCCTCCACTTTGCAATATTTCCCTGCTTCTTCAATGAGTGGCCATGTACCACTGTCCCACGTCCAGTGCAACTGCATTTGCTATCAGTCTAAACTGTGTTGTTGCTATTCGCATAGCATTGTTCCATGTCATAGAACAACATACCATCACAATCACAACATTTATGCTCAACAGCAGCAGCCTGCCATTTTCCAATCCTGTACAAGGCAGACAAGATATGTACATCAGAATACTTCGCATGCCACTAATAATGCACCTGGTTTCATTGTTCAGGAGACAAGACAAGTTCCGGCTCCTATTGATGTTCTTCAACCTAGCGCTAGACCTGAAGTCCTCACACCTACAGGTAAGTATTATTGGTAAACAATACGCAAGCAGTTACATAATGCACCCCTTGATTACAATTGATAAACAATACACATACATGTAATTACGCCTATTGTATTTATCAGGAATGTTTTGGTACTTCTTGTGTGCAGGGGTGAGGCTATGGAGTATGGCATTTACAAATTTACACTCATCGTTATTAATGCGTTTCATCACCTGCGATTCACGAACCACGGTTTCCACATTCATAGTAATGAAACTTTAAAGTCATTGCAGGAATGAATTGAATGTTACCATGTCCCTAAATTGATTTTTTCGTGGATCCTTAACAGGGGCGGATCTAGGGGGGGCCTGGGGGGGACCAGGCCCCCCCCCAAAAAAAATTTTTCTGGTCCAAAAAAAACAGTGAATAAAAGTTTTGTTCCACTGAAGTAAAAGTACTGGTATACTTTAAAGTCTCACTGGGCCAGACCAATCCCCAGCCTACAGTCATGACTGTTGGCTGGGGACTGATATGGCTCTTGACACTATACATGTAGCCAAACCCTGCTTTTGTATAGATTTTTGTGGTTGAGTTAATTACAACTGATCTTTATCTGTGTTAGGCTCCTGGGTTTATACAATAATTGTGTAGCGTTTCAGCTGATTTTTGCCCCACAAATGTTTTATGACATTTCTGTCTATAATCATGACGAATCATTGTAGACCTCTATCTTCATGATCTAGGATTACCTTTATTCTAAATTCCTGGATTGTATACGTAGCTACAGTATACAGGTGTTTTGGGACTATATTATGGCCTTGTCGACATGTACATGCCCTTTATAAAAACAACAGTTTTAGGACAATTGTAAAGCATACTTACCATAGAATCCCTAGAACAGCCACAAGTCCCGCAACTGGATAAGCATGTTGATGTTATAACGAATATTATAGAAGTTGATAGCCATCCTTCAGTAAAACTCCTGTAGAACTACAGAAGCATGGCAACATGCCACAACAGGGCACCACTCTGAACACACTTGTGGTTAATTACCATGAGTTGACCCACCTTTGGTTTTTATAGTACATTAAAACTGGCTGGACATTCTATTCATGCTTCATTATCAGACCAGGCAGCTAATCTGACACTCTATAGTGTATTAATATTAAGATTAAATACTGCACCTAGACACTCTACATGTACTTGTTTTTCTTATCTGTACATGTACATGTTTTCCCTTATGTGCAGTACATGTACATGTTTTCCCTTATGTACTCTTAGGGGTTTCTTATTTCTAGATTCTGATCCTAATGGAGAAGAAGAAACCGATAGGATGGAAGCTCAACCAGAGAAGAGACCCAGAGTTGACGCTAGTCCTCCTTACTCGCCGCAGTCTTTGATAATTGACCTGGATCCGGACTTTAGCGATGACATCCTCATCAATGACAAACTGCCATTCGAAGATTTCGCAGAAGATCCAAACTCCAACAACAACAACAACAATAATGATAATAGCAGTTGTTTAGTGACGGAATATACATGTAGCAGTAATAGTCTCGTAAGTGAAGATGAACATAGCATTGAAGGAATAAAAGGAATATATGCTTTGTCGCCTAAAGTATTATTCCCACAAAAAGATTTCGTAGAGGAGACAGCTCTGGATTGCACTGGAGTACAAGGTGATGATGATGATACACTACTTGACAATGAGTCTGAGCAGCAGCAAGTAACCTACAGCCAGTCAACTGAGCTGAATGTACAGGTATCGGTTGCTGAAGAAACATTGAACTCTTATGAGAATGAAGGCCAAGAGCCAGTACAATCAGGCAACCAATGTAAGACAGCAACTCCAGAAGAGGCGATAGAATTCGGGATTAGTGAAGTATCTGTATATGAGATGCCTTCTCCTATAAATGATGCTGTTGAAGTGGAGGAGCTCCAGCGTCCTGATACTGAAGGGAATGATGATTATATAACTCTTACTCAGGAGGTGTCATCCTTAATATCAGTCTTAGCATCTTCTATTGGTTCACTCCCTCCTTTAGATGACTCCACCAATATATTGTCTCCTGATTCCTCTTCTCTTATTGACTCTACTGTTCTATCACCTCTTGGTTCGTTTGATGATTCTTCTAATTCCTCACCCGATTCTTTCGATGATTCTTCTAACCTCTTGCCTCCTGAATTTTTCATCGACTCTTCTAGTGCCTCCCCTCCTGACTCTATTCATGGTCCTTCTAATGCCTCACCTCCAGCTCTTATGGATGATGATCCCTCTAATTCTAATATAGATGATCTTTCTAATTCTGATATGGATCAACTCACTAATTTTGATACAGATTATCCCTCTGATACAGATACAGATGATCCCTCTGATTCTAATACAGATGATGAATTCTCTGATCTCTTGCTTTCCTTGGACAAGGACAATTCTTCTATTTCCTCGCCTCCAGTTCTTAGGAGTAGCACCTCACCTCCACCTGATGCCAAGTCTTCTTCTCCACTGCTCATATCAATTCCATTGAGTGTACTGGATTATGATGCTTCAAGTGATCATTCCGTGTGTCCTGAGCCCTCACCTCTGGTTGTATCATATCCTATATCAGTATGGCTAGGAAGACGTCAGAAGGAGCGGAATGACAATAGTCATAATAATAATAGTGATAGCAGCCTCGATGACTCAAAGTCTAGATTAAATAAAGTAATCTCTTTAATAAATATTTGTTTGAATTATTTTGTGATTATTTATTTGTAGATTCTTGATAGCTCTGCGCTCTTGTCAGCAATTGATCTGTACATTGTGAAAGGATTCTTTTTAAGTAAGGGATCTTACATTTTCACACTAATGAGTATATTAATGTTACCTCACTACACCACCCCATTAATGAGTTCCTTTTCACTGGCAGTGTGAATTAATCTATAACTTGCTGCAAGTTAATTTTTTTCTTTTTTTTGTTGTAGGTACGCTTCCAAAAATGGAGAAAGAAGTTTTGAAATATGCACTTACACATTCTCCTGCTACTGCAAATAGTAAAGCATTCTATATTGGGATCGAACTAAACTTAACGACTAAAGAGTGGGTCAGTTTCAAGCACTACGGAGATTCCTTAGACATCTTTGATAACTCTATACACATGTAAACCAATTGTAACATTATGCACATGATTACCCATTATTGTTTTTTTTTGTTGATTTATTTATCATTATCATCACCATCATTATTTTAATTATTTTAAATTAAGACAATGTCTTTCATGAGTCCGAAGTTGGGGCTGCCCCAGCCTGACGCTGGATCCCATCCGCTGGTAGCCTCGAAGCCTTTGCACCATATGGTTCCATGATTGCTACCCTGTTAAACACATGATAATAAAATTGAGTAAATGGAAGCCATAAAACTATAGCCACGGTTTTTGTTCTTAAAACTATAGTATGTGGTTTTTGGCTAAACTTCTTCAAAAGTTAAAAGTAGAGAATTCTCCATTTTTGTAATTTTTCTTGATACAATAAATGTACTTATGTTGTGTAGCACGTTTGAATTGATTCTGATTATGTTTGAAAATTTTTAAAGTTGCTCAAAAATCGGGTCAAAGTCCCTGTACTACACAAGAATTTCGACCAAAATTTTGTCAAAAATGAAAAATAAAGAGTTCTTTATCATTATAATTTTTCCTGATGTGTAATTGTGTATACATGTACTTATGTTGTATAGAAAGTTTGAACTGATTTTGATCAAGTTTATATTTTTAACAAATTTTGAAAAGAGTCTCCTGTAGACTTAGCATGGTCTATGGACTAACCTTTGTAATGTCAAAGAAACCATTACCACTCAATTTGTACAGGAGAGGATTAATGAAGCCTAGAGTACTGAGTCCAGCATTAAGACGAACGTCATTAAGTAGAGAAATCATCCCGGCAGTCGTTGGGGAAGCACAACTAGTTCCGTCGACTGGCCACGGTAAATCAATATAAACAATCAAAAAACTAACCGAAAATACCGAGACATCAGGATAACCACGACCGGACGAATTGAAATACTTATCATTTGGGGCTGCTCCACTTTTCAAATAAGTAGCGACTGCATCAGTTTGGTAGTCCGGAGTTGAATAATGATTAGAGAATCCTCCCCCGCCATGATCCCAGCATTCGTCCATAGACACTGTTCCTCCGACTGCAGTCACGTAAGGACTTGATGCTGGCCACATTGGTTCAAAGCGACCTCCCTTAAGCAGACTACAGGCGGTTCCAAAATCTCCAGATGCAAATAAAAGAGAGCGTCCAGAAATACCTAATTTCATGAATTCTTCGTCGACCCGATCCATAAATGCAGGATCAATGGAGGATTCATAGTCGCCATAGCTAACAGAATGGACCCACGGGGTATCCGTGTTATTAATAAGCTCTACTACCCACGTCATAAAATCTTCTTGATTCCCGTTAGCGTGAGACGAGACTGATATAAACCAGGTGTCAACATTGCGCCCAATGCCTGTAATGTATTGTACGTCGAGATTAGCTTCAATCCCTTGATCATTGCCATCATTCTTGCCAACAATCTTCTTGATTGGGTTCTGTGGGATATTGTACTCTTTTTGAAAATGTGCCAAGTCACTTGGACTGAAGTATTGACTCAGGAAACCAGCAATGGCCTGCGAATTGTTGCTGCTAGTAGATGCATAGCCGGATATGTTGTAAGCTTTGTTAATATAAGAGGGGGTTACATCGCCATCAGTGTCATTGCCTGGTTGAGAGAATCGAGGGCTGATTCTCGTCTTAGGAAAATCAGTAATACCAGAAATAAAGCATAAATGAGGCTTCAACATATTGGGGGTGGAGAACTGCTCGGAGCGATATACAATAAAGCCTTTTTTTGTTTTATGTTCGTATGCAAAGAAATTAGCAGAAAACATGGTCTCAGCTACAGAGACTGGCATCTCCACTACAGCAAATCCACCTCCTAGTGTGAAATCTGCCCTAAGACCATTTGATGCAAAATAGCTTGTAGTTTGAGCCACACCCTCAGGGTAAGCATGCACATGAGTAACTATCTCATCCAGAGACAAGTAGCGACCGTAGTGAAGAGATTCTGGATCAGATACTTCTTTTAAAGTGTTTTCCAGCCATTGCCTGTTAGTCTGTTTCAGCGCTAGTGTCACTTTGATCTATGGAAAAAGGTAAAGACGTTAGTTAGATCATAGAGAGTATCCTGATTTGGATCTAGACTCTGATTGTGTTTTACGTACTGTTTTGTTAGGCAATGGACGACCTATTTTTATCCAGTCTTCATTGTCAGCATGCACAAAAGAAAACAAGAGTACGGCGAAGAGAAATGGAGCTGCCACCATGTTCTGATGTATGGGTTCGGCCCTGTTGTGGTTTTAGCTGATTAAATTTACTTAGAAAAGGTGGTGTGACATGATGGTGTTTTTGTTGCTGCCTCTCACCCTTTGCTCATTTCTCTTGCTTGTTCCAGCTGCAAATGTACCCCATGATCGTGAAAAAAGACTACTACCAAACAATAAAAACTGCAATCCAGCCATTGACATCTGCCAGAAAGGTGATCTTGTTGACCCAAAAGTCTCCGATTGTACATTCTCACCAAGTTCCTCTCATCCTTTATCGTGTACAGCTGAAAGAAGTGGAGGCATTATAAGCTGGGTTGTTGGTCCTGAAAAGAACAATCGTTGTAACCCAAAAACTGATGACGTGAAGTTTGTATGTGGCTCAAAAGGTAGCAACACTCGCTGTGTGTGCAGTGACTATAAAATCCAATGGAATGAGTGTCGCTGTCAATATTGGACTGAAGAAACTCCCGGGGAGAATGATCCAGGTTTTTGCACTGCGCATTATCTTGCTGGCAGTACTGGCGTTCATCATTATGCCTGTTGTAATAATTGTATCGGAAAAAGTGCAATGAAAAACTCCAAACCGATTTGTGATGGTGTGACTTATGAAGGAGGCAGTAGTGGCAGTTATTGTGGCCATTGTGGCAAGAATCTTGGAGGAGGAGATTTAAAGTGGTATTTTAATTGTCATAATTGCACTGTTCAGTCGAATTGTCAAGCACTTTGTAACAAAAAAGTATCTACACTGCCTGGATTTTGCTGGAAGTGGGTGGACTGTTTTAAGGATTGTTGCAGCAGCTAATTATTGTTATTCATTTTTAAAACTTGAAAAATTAATGATTTTTCATTTGTTCACAGAAAATAAAAGCAAGAGTACAAATAGATACTCTTACTAAAAGCAATCTTTGTAAAGAAAAAAAATGAATGACAGAAAAAAAAATGTGGTCCATGTGAGGCTCGAACTCACGACCTTCGCGTTATCAGCACGACGCTCTAGCCAACTGAGCTAATGGACCAACACACTAGTGGAAGCCTGCAAACAATTTTTATACTTATAAATTTTAATTGTTGCTCACGTGCTGACAGGCTTAACAAATTGTTCTGCACATTTTTTGACTTCAAAACTGACAATGTCATCGTTTTTTGCTCTCTTCTTGGTGGTTCTTTTATTGCACACTGTTTCCCCTGCACCAGTCAAGCCCCCGGCTGGATGGACTCTTTTAAAAGCAGCAGATCCAAAGGAAATGGTAAGTGACATTGGCACAGGCCAACAGCAGATATCAATGTTACCAGGTATATATCAATGATTTCAATCAATACTCTTTGAATGCTTGTCTAATTAGCTTAGGCAGTCTATGCTCAATTTAAATAAATTGTCTTTACTTACTATAGAGTACATTAGTAGAGTGCTTATGCATGTAATCATTGATTACATGTAAGCACAAACATCATGATTCATAGATATGATGTAATAAAGCTGTTCTGTCACATACACAGCCAAGAATTTTAATTTGAATCATGACTAATATCAATCATGATCAGCCTGATACATTCCTGTATTATGAAAATTTGGGAAGCCTGCAGCGAAGCAATGAATCTAGCATGATACAATCATGATAATCATCCATAATACAACTATGCTGGAGTATAGCCTTGGTTCAGCTGGAGTAATAGACATGATTCAACATTGATGGCACTTAGAACTGTATCAAAATAGACATCAGGCTTGAATCATTGATTTTGGGTATTAGTGGCCTGTATCAGAGATGATAATTCTTGGCTGTGTAATTCATGTAACCTAATACTGAACTCTGCTGGGAGCATGGTTATCACAACAAATGCTGTAGACTTGCAAATTTATCATTCAGCTAGACAAAAACATCCAATAATTTCAAATTCATTTTCTAGATTACAGTAACTCTGGCAGTTAAGCAAGCCAACAGGGAATGGCTTGATACCACCTTACGCTCAGTCTCGTATCCTGATTCCCCTTATTACGGTCAACACAAGACACTTGAAGAGATTGCTACTCATGTTCATGCTCACCCTGAAAGTGTTGCAGCTGTTAAGAAACTCTTTCAGTCTGTGAATGTAGAGGCCTCGTTCACAATAGGAGAAGGTTTTGCTGTTGCCGATATCCCTATAGAGATTGCAGAGCAATTGTTCTCTGCAAAGTTTTATCAGTTCCAGTACAAAGATAAGAGTGATGTGACCACCACTCGCACTCTAGGATTTACAGTTCCCTCATATTTGAAGCCTCATGTTGATTTTGTTTGTTGCATGGATCAGTTTCCAGAGCCTGAAAGGAAGACTAAGCTCAGGTCTTATGGCTTGCCCCAAGTGACTCCTAACTCTATTGATAAGTCCTACAATATATTAGGGTATTCCGGTACCAATACTAATAACTCTCAAGCTATCGCTGGATTTTTGAAGCAGTATTTCAAGCCATCTGATTTGA